GGTCATTAACCTTTTTTTGTACAAATACATTGATAATAGCCTTTTTTAACAACTTATTAATAATAAAAAATTGTTTAAACAATCCGCGGCGAGTTCCGATACTTCGCCGGCAAGCTCTACCCCCACTCTCTGTGCCCAAGCCTGCAGCTTATAATTTTCAAGCATCTTTAACATTATTGAAATCATAATAGCTCAGTGGTTAGAGCACCAATCTTTTATTTTGCTGGGCAGGGTTCGATCCCAGTCATAGGCAATTTTTTTTTCTGTTTCTTGTTCAAGTGACTTTATATACTTATAAATCAATTCATATATTTTATTACATTATTCTTTCAATTAATTACGAAAAAAAACTTGTTTTTCTGAAAATAAGCTGAGGGTGAGGAACGAGTTACTATGAATTCTCTTTTTTCGAAAGTGTTGTCTTCAAAAGACAATAGGAATTGATTTTGAACTTATATAAACAACCAATTATTGTATTTATATAAAATTTTAATGAAAAAAAAGGAAAAAAAAATTGGCTATGACTGGGATCGAACCCTAATCGGTAAAACGAAAGCTTGGTGTTCTACTCACAGAGCTAACACATCATCTCTGACATTATGTTTATGTTTATAAGTTGTATAATGCAGGCTTGAGTACGAAGGGTAGGGATAGAGTTTGCCGGCAAAGTGCCGGAAATCCCCGTGGATTATTTCAACTACTTCTAAATATTTCTAAATTGCTTAAAAAAAAGCTACGTTCATATAGCTATAGTAAAAAAAGTGTTTATAACCCTGTTCATGTTTTCCGACTCGGCGTCGATAAATTACATAAATAATTGAGAAAAAAAAATCAAATCGTTGGTAAGAATTCATTTTAGCATGTTAATATTATAATTACATGCAAATCTAACAAATGAAAAAGAAAAAAAAAACTTTACCATGACTGGAATCGAACCCTGCCCATCAAAATGAAAGACCGATGCGCTAACAACCGAGCTATTATATGATTACATAACATTTATATATGCTTAAAAATTATAAGCTGCAGGCTTGGGCACAGAGAGTGGGGGTAGAACTTGCCGGGAAAGTGCCGAAACTCGCCACAGATTGTTTAAACTACTTTTCAATGTTGATAATAATATGATTAACTTGTTAATAACATAACATTGTTAATACATGTAAAGATGGATAAGTATGAGTTGTTAAACACAGGCTATTATCATGTATTTATACAAAAAGAAAGTTTATGGCTCTGTTTAAATATTTTTCGACTTAGCGTCAATAAATTCAATGAATAAAGAGAAAAAAAAATCAAATTGTTATAAAAGATTAATTATAGCATGTCAATATTATAATTACATGCTAATCTAACGAATAAAGTAGAAAAAAAAAATTGGTTGTGACTGGGATCGAACCCTGCCCGGCAAAATAGAACTCTGACGCCCTAACCACATGGCCAGCATATTCTCGATATTGAGTTAATGTATATTTGTTTTTATACTACATGCTTGGATACGCCCGACTTGGAATTGAGCTTCCTTATTAAGGCTGGGCTGAAGTCAGAAAGTTTCCCGGAGTTGACTTTACGCCCTCACGTTGTGCGGCGAAAAGCCGAAGCTCGATATCAATTGAAATTGAGTAGGTAACAGAGAAATCGTTCGAAAAATTATAATTTTCAGGGATGCACTACAAAAAGGGAGCCTTAGGGTACCAAGAAATTTACAAATTTCAGAATAATCTGTTCCGAGCAAGACAGAGCACAAAATATATCTATCTATCTCCGTCTTATTTTTCAGAGAAGACTGCGAGTTCGAACAGTTGACGAGCAAGCACATTCCCCACCCTCTGTTACTAAGCCTGAAGCTTACGATATCTAAACGTAAACAAAGCAAATGAAAATATGCTAGCTCTATAGTCAGAAGGTTCGCCAGTTATTTTACCGAACGGTGTTCGATTCTAATTGCGGCAAAATTTTTTTTTTATTTAAATTGCATGTAATTGCATTTTTATCATGCCAAAAATGAGTTTTAAATTTCAATTTTTATGTAAAATTTTTTTTTCAATTAATCAATGACAAATGAGAAAATATTTTAACAGGGCCATTAACCTTTTTTTGTACAAATACATTGATAATAGCCTTTTTAACAACTTATTAATAATAAAAAATTGTTTAAACAATCCGCGGCGAGTTCCGATACTTCGCCGGCAAGCTCGACCCCCACTTTCTGTGCCCAAGCCTGTAGCTTATAATTTTCAAGCATCGTTTATATAATTGGAACTATAATAGCTCAGTGGTTAGAGCCCCGACCTTTTATTTTGCTGGGCAGGGTTCGATCCCAGTCATAGGCAATTTTTTTTTCTGTTTCTTGTTCAAGTGACTTTATATACTTATAAATCAATTCATATATTTTATTACATTATTCTTTCAATTAATTACGAAAAAAAACTTGTTTTTCTGAAAATAAGCTGAGGGTGAGGAACGAGTTACTATGAGTTCTCTTTTTTCGAAAGTGTTGTCTTTAAAAGACAATAGGAATTGATTTTGAACTTATATAAACAACCAATTATTGTATTTATATAAAATTTTAATGAAAAAAAAGGAAAAAAAAAATTGGCTATAAGTGGGATCGAACCCTAATCGGTAAAATGAAAGCTTGGTGTTCTACTCACAGAGCTAACACATCATCTCTGACATTATGTTTATGTTTATAAATTGTATAATGCAGGCTTGAGTACGAAGGGTAGGGATAGAGTTTGCCGGCGAAGTGCCGGAACTCCCCGCGGACTGTTCCAACTACTTCTAAATATTTCTAAATTGCTTAAAAAAAAGCTACGTTCATATAGCTATAGTAAGAAAAGTGTTTATAACCCTGTTCATGTTTTCCGACTCGGCGTCGATAAATTACATAAATAATTGAGAAAAAAAAATCAAATCGTTGGTAAGAATTCATTTTAGCATGTTAATATTATAATTACACGCAAATCTAACAAATGAAAAAGAAAAAAAAAACTTTACCATGACTGGAATCGAACCCTGCCCATCAAAATGAAAGACCGATGCGCTAACACCGAGCTATTATATGATTACATAACATTTATATATGCTTAAAAATTATAAGCTGCAGGCTTGGGCACAGAGAGTGGGGGTAGAACTTGCCGGGAAAGTGCCGAAACTCGCCACAGATTGTTTAAACTACTTTTCAATGTTAATAATAATATGATTAACTTGTTAATAACATAACATTGTTAATACATGTAAAGATGTATAAGTTGTTTAACACAGGCTATTATCAATGTATTTATACAAAAAGAAAGTTTATGGCTCTGTTCAAACATTTTTCGACTTAGCGTCAATAAATTCAATGAGTAAAGAGAAAAAAAAATCAAATCATTATAAATGGTTCAATTATGGCATGTCAATATTATAATTACATGCTAATCTAACGAATAAAGTAGAAAAAAAAGTGATTATGACTAGGATCGAACCCTGCCCGGCAAAATAGAACTCTGACGCTCTAACCACATGGCCAGCATAATCTCGATATTGAGTTATGTGTATTTGTTTTTATACTACATGCTTGGATACGCCGACTCGGAATTGAGCTTCTTTGATTAACATTTATACCTAATAAAAATGATAATAATGGATGAGTATATGTATTTGAAGTTATTTGCAGGTATTATATTAATTAATGTTAAATGAGTATCATCATTTTTTTTTATTCTAACTGCAATAGTCATCAAAGTGTAGGGCATTGTAAAGTGATACACTATGTTTACATCACATACATATATTACCCGTACACACACATACAGAATTTACTCGCCAAAATGCAGGGCACCATCAGTTCTGGATACGGATTGAGCATTTTTTCAATATGGATGACTGAGGTCATCTGCGAGCATAATGCTGTCACCTATCAGAATTTTTTCAAACTAATTTTCCGGAGAATATCATCTGAAATACAAGATTTCTAATTATTTCTAAATTATTCAATTTTACACTATGAATTGATTTTTTTTAAAATTCAGACAGGTGGCAAGGACTGACGCAAACACGAATTTTGGGCGAAAAACGTATAAAAATGAAATAATTAGTGATTTTTCATCTGAATGATGTGGCCGCCATCTTGAAATTTAAGCGCGGCAAGTCAATTCATAATTTTTTCATTATTCTTTCTAATTTTTTTAATAAAAATATTCACTATATACAAAAAATTGTTGTTTACGTCAGTCCGGCATTAATTCCTCTGTAATTTGGTACCTAATTTTATAGAAATAATTGTAAATTGGCGAAGAAATTAGAAATTTCCCGATCCCATGTATTTGGATAGGGGGAATCAGTCGCCTTTCTGACTTCAGCCCAGCCTTAAAACTGTGTTTGTGTCAATGTTATTATCATTAGATTATAAGCCTAAATATACTCATTTATGTAGTGGGAATTACATGACATTACATGAGCCAGAAAGAAGACTTTTTTTTGTATAAGCATTTTGAATTTTTGATTGAAGACAGTGTAATTACTGTCATCTATTAGAAAACAGTGACACTAGTTGAATTTTTTTTCTACTATACCGACGCAAGATAACTTACCAGTCCTAATTTCTTAAGTTGACTGTTCAACGAAATGATAAACATTAAAAAAAGAAAAATTTTTATAATTTGATTGAATATTAAATGATTGAAAATAAAAAAAAACCAATTTTAAAAGATTAAAAGAATAAAGCTTATTTTTAAAATGATCATTAGATAAAAAATCTGGGCATCATAGAATTTGATTAACAATCAGTAAGATTATACATTTAAAGATTTAAATTTAAAAGATTGTAAAAATGCCTTTGACTGACATCTTATTGGGGACGGATGTCACGCTCCCAATTTTATTTATTAGTTGTTTATTCGACTATTACGCGGCGCTCGTTATTGGGCCGCAGAGTGGTGAAATATTTTGGCGGAATGGGCAATACAGCCTAGCGCCATCTATCTCCTTATTTACTCAATAGTGGTGAAATATTTTGAGATTACCCTCAACACGGTTGCAATTTGATAACGAATGTTACATTGTTACATTTGTTGGAATTTTGTAAAAACAAATAATAATATTTCATTTTGACTTATCAACTCATGTTACGTATTGTATAATTCTTTATTATCTGTATTAACAGTAAATATATTCATACATGTTTAAACACCATACAACTTTGATTAATTATTCCAAATGTCCAACACCGATGTCAAACGTTCTATGTCGCAGTCATATGATGCCAAAGTATGTTCATTCATTAAAATTAAAATTTGGTTATATTCAAATGTTATATTATTACAGGCTGACATCCGTAAAGATGAAGAACAAATAGTCGAGTTGAATAAAATTGTTGATCTTTTAGTTGCAGCTGGGTATTTTCGAGCAAGAATCAAAGGATTGTCAGATTTCGATAAGGTTTTTATATTTATAAATCGCTATCGTTCAATTTTTATAATATGATAAAGTAGCTTAATTTTTACAGGTAGTTGGTGGAATTACTTGGTGTATTGAGTCTTGTAACTATGATGTGAATATCAATTTCCTGTTTCATGAGAATCTCACGATCGGTCAAAAAATGTAAGCTTAAATAATTTTAATGGTTAATAATAATTTAGTTTCTAATGTACATGTAAGTAATCCTCTGAGTATTTTTTTAGTGCATTAACGGAGAAAATCGTAATTATTTTGCCGAAAATGAATTGCCCTCATCGTATTGAACCACATCAAATACAGGGACTTGATTGTATTCATATATTTCCTGTCATTCAGGTATGATACCTGATGTTGTCAATTTTTTTTTTCTTTGTTTCTAATCACCACGTCTGCATTATCAGTGGCTTCTTAAAAGAACAATTGAAGCAAGAAAAGAAATTGCGGGATATGTACGATCTTTTATTGAACATCAATTCGATAAAATTCATGCTAATAATAATAAACAAGTTGAAGCCGATGAACCAAAAACCAATCTTGCGCAACAGTTGCATTATTTTAGAAGGATTTATGAACCTAGGCCTCAATTGAAAGACAATCTTCCAGTCGAGCAAATTAAAAAATTAAAATACACACTTTTTGAGTATGGTATGTCAGAAGAATCAGCGTTGAATGATATCAATACCAGTAATCGTAATCAGGAAAATACACCTACTGAGGTTGTAACTCCGTCTGTAGAATTAAGTTTTAAACAACCGTATGTTCATGAAAATCATTTCAATGCAAGTACTGTTGGAAAAATTCTCAGTCTTCACATTAATGAAGTTACTGAAAATTCGAAACTTTACACATCATATAAGACTCAAGTATGTATTATTCTTTTGTGGCAATGGTAAATGGATTATTAATCCAAGTATTTTTTTAGGATACTCATAATAAATCACAGATATTTGAAACTATTCAAAAACAAAAAAATATTTTGCAACAACAAGTGGCTACTTTGGAAGAAAATAAGAAAACTATTAATAAAAAATTGAATAATGTGACAGAACATTTACTATCTAACCAAAGAAATCAACAAATTGCTCATGATAATTGTATTGAATTAAAAAAATTGACATATTCTAATCATAGGTAAAATTAACGTAATAAAAATATTTTATGCTTTATATGAAATTTAAACAAAAAAAAAAAATTAATAAAACTGAATTTTTTTTATTGAACAGTACATTACAAAAAATAAGATCTCTCTTTTTGTTACGAATGAATTTAAAAGCACAAGAGCACGCATTTCGTGAACAATGTCTGAAAAATGCTCTATATTTGAATGAAATAATCGTAAATGTCGATACCCGAATGCCAGAAGAACACAATAGCCTAACAGATTATGATACGATAAAAAAATCAATAGATAAAACTAAACTTATATTGGCAAAAAAGAATCGTACATTAGCATCACTCGCTAGACAATTAGATGATGTTCCTGGAAGATCAGAATTAGCTCAATATCAACGAAGGTTTATGGAACTTTATAATCAAGGTATATTTTCATTTTCATTGATTATGAACCAATTGTAAAAATATTTTATTTTTACTATTAGAAGTTTCTTTTCAAATAAAAATCAATTCCAGTTTCAGCAACGCATAAGGAAACCAAACAATATTATACTTTATACAATACTTTATATGATACAAAACTTTATTTGAGTAAAGAATTTTCTCTATTAAATTCTATACAAGATAATTATAAGGAGTAAGTAAACATTTTTAAATATTTTTACTAAGAAATTGAGTTTTTTTTTGAAAATCATTGTTTTGTAATTGAAAGAAGTAGTTAATTTATTTTAATAAAAATTTACATCCAATTTAAAAAGACATTTACCCAAAATGCATTAAAATATGCAATGGATAGTATAAACTAAAAATATATTTACAGATCTGAATCCATTACAATTGAAAGAAAATCACATGTCATTTGTAATTTTATCAAAACATATTAATAGAAGAGTTTGGGACGTTATCAATAGTGGATTGCAAATGTTAAATCCCATAATTTTACAATTTTTGTTTTTCCTACTGACGTACTTTTATTTATTGAGAAACTATCTTTTAAATAATTTAATAATTTAGCACAATAATTACCCCTTTTTTATTATTAAGAGATTACTTGGTATATTTTTTTTCATCAGACAAGAAAATTAAATATATTCAACTTAAATAAAAATTAAATAAATTTTCAGAGCGATGACTTCCGTAAGTGGTAAAGAAGAATTTTTAAAACAGTTTGAAACAATATCATTAGGAGTGAAGCGAAATAAAAAGAAGGTATTATAAAATACACTTAATAATTTCATATATTTTATTAATGTTTATTTCTTTTGACAGTTGGAAGAAAAATATGCTGAAGAAAAAAATAAAACATATCTTCTTAATAAACAACTTGCTATGATAACAGAACAACAACGGAAATATGTAACTGCTGTTAAACAGCTTACCATTGAATGTCGTAGAAATGAAGCTTTGCTTGCTCGTCTTCGAACGAATCAACAATAAATATCGCTGTGAGAATATTATCTAATATTTATTCAGATTTTAATTATATTGTATTCCATTAACCAAATCGTACATTTTATTGTTGAAGCAATATTTGAAATTATTGTAATTTAGAGTTTTTTGCATCAAATCACACCAAAAAATTTTTTAAAAACATTAAAAATATTCCGTTCAAATTGTAGTTTTATATGAAATCCTATCTATAATTTTAAATTAGAAGATCTGAAATTAAAATAAAGTTTTACACGAAGATAATTAATTCGTTATATTTTATTATTAACGATTTGACAAAATTGTAAGTATCAATTTTTCCCCTTTAAACTAAAGTTATTTCTTGGAATTCACACAGAAAGCAATAAATAGAATTTTTAAAACTACAGGGAAAAATTTAATAGGTATCTACTTACTATAATAACATCATTAAAAAAATTTATATTTTTTTGTATTAAATTATCATTCTAATTTGATTCATTTTTTTTAAAATTAAGTTTCCAAAAAACTTTTACCATTCTTGAAGATGCCGAATTCTGTCTAATTTTATTTCTGTTCTAGTTCATAAATATTATTAGCGTAACACGACAAAGTTTCGAGTGCAGTGTGTTTTTTTATCCATTGTAAAATTGGAAATATTCTCATTTTCAAAGTATCTAACTGTACATATGCATTTACGTCATACCAGCTAATAAATCCGACTATACCTAATAAAATAAAGAGTTGATTTCCCGCCAGAACCTATATGTTTTGCAAACTCTCCTAGGTTAATCAACGACTGTGAGAAAATAATCTGTTTATCATAAAAAACTTCGAGAAATATTTGCAAAATGAGTTTAAAAGGAACGGGAAAATTATATATCATCAAACGAGGTACGTTGCTAAATGAAAATATTTTCTAAAACAATTTTTATTTCACTTTTGTGATTACCAGCATGCTAGTGTGTTTTTTTTTGATACAATTTTAAGCCATGAATTATGATAGATCTACATATAAATTAATTTCAGATGGGCGAGAAGAAAAGGTTCATTATGATAAGATTTCAGCCCGGGTGAAAAAACTTTGTTACGGTTTAGACATGGATTACATCGACCCACCAGCAATTACTTACAAAGTAATGCAAGGAGTTTATCCTGGTGTTACTACGGTAGAGTTGGATAATCTAGCAGCTGAAACAGCAGCAACTATGACTACTCAACATGCTGATTATGCTATTTTAGCAGCAAGAATAGCTGTTTCTAATCTTCATAAGGAAACAAAGAAAAATTTTACTGAAGTAATGAGCGATTTGTATCATGTTACTCATCCAATTACAAAAAAACATACTCCTCTAATCAGCGAATATCATTATAATATCATCAAAAAGTATTCTCAAATACTAGATTCATCAATAGTATACGATCGAGATTATGATTACAATTATTTTGGATTCAAAACTTTGGAAAGAAGTTACTTGTTGAAAATAAATGGTAAAGTAGTGGAAAGACCTCAACATATGTTGATGCGAGTGGCTGTGGGAATTCATGAAGAAGATTTGAATAGGGTAATAGAAACTTACAATTATTTATCTGAAAAGTATTTCACTCATGCATCACCAACACTTTTTTCTGCTTGTACCAATCGTCAGCAAATGTCTAGCTGTTTTTTATTAACAATGACTGAAGACAGTATTAATGGTATCTATGATACAATGAAAAGATGTGCATTAATAAGTAAAACTGCTGGTGGAATTGGTCTGAGTGTTCATTGCATTCGTGCCAGTGGTACACGGATCAAAAGTACTCATGGAGTAGCCAGCGGATTAGTTCCTATGCTTCGAGTGTTTAATAATACAGCAAGATATGTTGATCAAGGAGGAAATAAACGTCCTGGAGCTTTTGCTGTGTATCTAGAACCGTGGCATGCTGATATATTTGAATTCTTAGATTTGAAAAAGAACACTGGTAAAGATGAACATCGTGCACGTGATTTATTTTATGCATTATGGATTCCAGATTTATTCATGAAACGTGCTAAAGCTGATGGAATATGGAGTTTAATGTGCCCTCATTTGTCACCAGGACTGGATGATTGTTGGGGAGAAGAATTTGAATCTCTTTACACTAAGTACGAAGAAACAGGTCGTTATGTACGACAAGTTCCTGCACGTGAACTTTGGACTGCAATTCTTAAATCACAAGTGGAGACAGGTACTCCATATATGCTTTATAAAGATCACTGTAATCGTAAATCAAATCAAAAAAATTTAGGGACAATAAAAAGCAGTAATCTTTGTACTGAAATTATACAGTATACTAGTCCTGATGAAGTAGCTGTATGTAATTTAGCTTCAGTTGCTGTTAACATGTTTGTCAATGTTGAAAAAAAAACTTACAATTTTGAAGAATTAAAACTTGTAACAAAAATAGTTACTAGAAATTTAGATAAAATCATTGATGTCAATTATTATCCAACTCCTGAAGCACAACGATCTAATCTTCGCCATAGACCAATGGGTATTGGTGTTCAAGGTCTTGCTGATGCATTTTTATTATTACGTTATCCATTTGAAAGTCCAGAAGCTCGAAAACTTAACATTCAAATTTTTGAAACCCTTTACTACAGTGCACTAGAAGCTAGCTGTGAATTAGCTCAAGAAAAAGGAATCTACGAATCCTATGATGGTTCTCCAGTGAGCAAAGGAATTCTCCAATATGACATGTGGGGTGTAACACCAACTAATCTTTGGGATTGGACTAAGTTAAAACAAAAAATAGCTAAATATGGCGTAAGGAATTCTCTTTTAATAGCTCCAATGCCAACTGCTTCAACAGCACAAATTTTGGGCAACAATGAATCTACAGAGCCTTACACCACTAATGTCTATGCAAGAAGAGTATTATCTGGTGAATTTCAAATTGTAAATCCACACCTTTTGAAAGATTTAAGTGAACGGGATTTGTGGGATGAAGATATGAAAAATGAAATAATTGCTAATAATGGTTCAGTTCAAAATATAGCTAATTTTCCAGCAGAATTGAAACCTTTGTATAAAACAGTTTGGGAAATATCACAAAAGACTATTTTAGAAATGGCTGCAGAGAGAGGTCCTTTCATTGATCAATCTCAATCGTTAAATGTTCATATTGCTCAACCTACAACTGGAATATTGACATCAATGCACTTTTATGGTTGGGATCTTGGTCTGAAAACAGGCATGTATTATTTACGTACTAAACCTGCTGCTAATGCTATACAATTTACCGTTGATAAAAGAAAGTTGCCTACATGGAGAGAAGAAGAATATTCAGATAATAAACAGTATACTGATAAAGTAAATGGTGATAATATTAATACTTGTTTTACATCAGATTCTCCAAAACGAGAAAATGCTGATATCTTGATTGATAATTTAGCGAATGATCTCAATAAATCTACTTTGTTATAAAATTATCAATATCAAATCCATAATATTTAAAATTGAACAGATTCTGTTGTTTGAAATTTAAAATGATCTAATTATGAATAATTGATAGGATCAGGTTTTATATTTACAAGTTATAATAAAATAAGTAAGAAAAAAAAAGAATTTTTTACTTAATAAAAAGTTTGTATAAATACTTAAATAAAAGAATAAATAATTTTGATAATTACGTACAAGTGGAATTAATAAAAATTGTTATTTTTAAATCAAAATATATATTGTTTTCATTACACTTCTCACTCAGGTTTGTCACATTTGACATTGTATTAAATACTTGTTTTGCTGACTCTATTGAAACAACTTATTGAACAACATGTACAAAAGAAAGGAACTGTTGAAGTTATTATTGGAGTTGAAGTGATATTGCATGCATTGCACCTCAAATCAGCTAGTATGATTTTATAAATACATGTATTCAGGCAAGCATTTCCACATATACAAAACTGAGCATTGTCAAGATATTCAATTAAAGTATATGGAATAATACTGGCATCGTAAAAAAAGCTGAAAAAATTAATTTATTAAATAAATTATCATAATTTATTGATTCATTCCTATAAACTTTAATATAATTGATAATAACTTTAAATAGTAATTACCAAAAACCATTAAATTTCTTGTCATTTTAATGAATTGAAATTACTTAAAATGAACAGAAAATTGCATGGCTTATAATTATTAATATTAAAAATAATTATCAAAAATCTTTTAATTTTTTTATAATACTCTGTATTATATTTGTGAAATACTTACCGATTATTAATAACAACACGAGCAGCAAATTCTCTTAGCGTTGATATAGAATTTGATTCCATAATGGTGAAATCCCTAACAATATTATCGTCTTGGTAATCAACCTTAAAATTTCCATAAACATTTAAATGATCCAAATGAAGATTTCGTATTGTGGCAGGTAAAATATTGATATTATTACTAGAAAAATCGAAGAACTTTAACTGTGTAAGATTTCCAATACTTGAAGGTAATTGTTTCAGTTGATTGTTAGATATATTAAGGGTACATAATTTTTTTAATTTTCCAATTTGATTTGGTAATAATTGTATCTACAATAAAGGAATAATTTTTATTCAATGAATTATTAAATATATTATGTAAAAATAAATTTTACCTGATTTGAACTTAAGTCTAGTAGTCGTAATGATTTGGTTATATTAACACCATTAAGCCACAGCCATTTAGTACGATTATTACATTGACCTAGCCTATTTTGTGATAAATTTAGCTCTACTAAATGAGGTAATAATACTCCTAATTCTGTTGGCAGTCTTTCGATGAAATTATTTGACAAATTTAAAATTCGTAGACTTTGTAGTCGTAAAATTTGTCGGTCAAATGACTTTCGATCGAGTCCAGAAATATTTAATTCTTCTGTTGTTCGAGGAAAACCTTCTAGTGTTGGATAGTCAGTTTTCTTTTTGATGGTTATTTTTTTTTTTGGTATTGAAGTACTTCCTTTAAACCCAACAGCACTTGGCAAAGGCGTTATGTGTGATGGTAGTTTTTTGTCCAGACCCAATTTCAATACGTGAAGAAAACTTTTTAATTCAATAACATTGCTACATTTAAGATGCAAATCCATTGCTGGCTCTTTTAAGCGTATAGTTGTTTTACCTTGATTAATGAATTTCGTGAAAACATTCTGAATTTGATCAATCTATGAAAAAAAAAAATTATTGTAAAATTAACTATCATTAATAAATTATTTCTCTATTTTAATATGAATTTAAAATAAGAGTTCAATATTTCATTAAATAATGTCAATATTACAGTACCTTACATTTCATTTCACAGTTATTTTGGCGTGTAGAGAGAAATAAATAGAGATCGTTATTTTTTTCTGATTTTTTACCAATTGTTAGACAAGAATTGTGTAATTTTTTTTTTGATCCGAATTCTAAACCATTAGATGAATTTTTATTGATTTCTGTCATACAAATTAGTTTCATTTTCAAATAAATTAATTGTATTTACAACTATTACATTTAAATTTACAATTACAATTGTTTACAAACGGAAAATTATCGTAAAACTGACGAAAAGGAATTCTCAACCACTAAAGTGTAAGTATACATAGAGTGAAACTATATATTCGAACTGAGAAAAGAGTTCCTCAGTTGCTTCAATGCTTTTGGGCTCCCCACCACTGATTTTCTACCCCTTCTACCGTGTTTTTTACTACTGCGCAAGCGTACAAGAACATATGAAGAGCATCTGAGGAACTCTCTTCTCAGTCCGACTATAGTAGTTATCGGGCGTTTTCCATTTAAGGCTGGGCTGAAGTCAGAAAGTTTCCCGGAGTTGACTTTACGCCCTCGTGTTGTCCGGCAAAAGGCCGAAGCTTGACATCAACTGAAATTGAGTAGGTAACAGGGAAATCGTTCGAAAAATGATAATTTTCAGGGATGCACTACAAAAAGGGAGCCTTAGGGCACCAAGAAATTTACAAATTTCAGAATAATCTGTTTCGAGCAAGACAGAGCACAGAATATATCTATTTATCTCCGTCTTATTTTTCAGAGAAGACTGCGAGTTCGAACAGTTGACGAGCAAGCACATCCCCCACCCTCTGTTACCAAGCCTGAAGCTTATGATATCTAAACGTAAACAAAGCAAATGAACATATGTTGGCTCTGTAGTCAGAAGATTCGACATTTATTTTACCGAACGGTGTTCGATTCCAATTGCGGAAAATTTTTGTTTTTTAATTCAAATTGCATGTAATTGCAATTTTATCATGCCGAAAATGAGTTTTAAATTTCAATTTTTATGTAAAATTATTTTTCAATCAATCGATGACAAATGAGACAATATTTGAACAGGGTCATTAACCTTTTTTTGTACAAATACATTGATAATAGCCTTTTTTAACAACTTATTAACAATAAAAAATAGTTTAAACAATCCGCGGCAAGTTCCGACACTTCACCGGCAAGCTCTACCCCCACTCTCTGTGCCCAAGCCTGCAGCTTATAATTTTCAAGCATCTTCCCTATTATTGAAACCATAATAGCTCAGTGGTTAGAGCATCAATCTTTTATTTTGCTGGGCAGGGTTCGATCCCAGTCATAGGCAATTTTTTTTTCTGTTTCTTGTTCAAGTGACTTTATATACTTATAAATCAATTCATATATTTGATTAAATTATTCTTCCAATTAATTACGAAAAAAAACTTGTTTTTCTGAAAATAAGCTGAGGGTGAGGAACGAATTACTATGAATTCTCTTTTTTAGAAAATGTTGTCTCCAAAAGACTATAGGAATTAATTTTGAACTAATATAAACAACCAATTATTGTATTTATATAAAATTTTGATGAAAAAAAAAATTGGCTATAACTGGGATCGAACCCTAATCGGTAAAATGAAAGCTTGGTGTTCTACTCACAGAGCTAACATATCATCTCTGATATTATGTTTATGTTTATAAGTTGTATAATGCAGGCTTGAGTATGAAGGGTAGGGATAGAGCTTACCAGCGAAGTGCCGGAACTCCCCGCGGACTGTTCCAACTACATACTTCTGAATATTTCTAAATTGCTTAAAAAAAAGCTACGTTCATATAGCTATAGTAAAAAAAGTGTTTGTAACCCTGTTCATATGTTTTCTGACTCGGCGTCGATAAATTACATAAATAATTGAGAAAAAAAAATCAAATCGTTAGTACGAATTCATTTTAGCATGTTAATATTATAATTACATGCAAATCTAACAAATAAAAAAGAAAAAAAAAACTTTACCATGACTGGAATCGAACCCTGCCCATCAAAATGAAAGACCGATGCGCTAACCACCGAGCTATTATGATTACAAAACATTTATATATGCTCAAAAATTATAAGCTGCAGGCTTGGGCATAGAGAGTGGGGGTAGAGCTTGCCAGCGAAGTGCCGGAACTCGCCACGGATTGTTTAAACTACTTTTCAATGTTGATAATAATATGATTAACTTGTTAATAACATAACATTGTTAATACATGTAAAGATGTATAAGTTGTTAAACACAGGCTATTATCAATGTATTTATACAAAAAGAAAGTTTATGGCTCTGTTCAAATATTTTTCGACTTAGCGTCAATAAATTCAATGAATAAAGAGAAAAAAAAAATTGGTTATGACTGGGATCGAACCCTGCCCGGCAAAATAGAACTCTGACGCCCTAACCACATGGCCAGCATAATCTCGATATTGAGTTAATGTATATTTGTTTTTACACTACATGCTTGGATACGCCGACTTGGAATTGAGCTTCCTTATTAACATTTATACCTAATAAAAATGATAATAATGGATGAATATATGTATTTGAAGTTATTTGCAGGTATTATATTAATTAATGTTGAATGAGTATCATCATTTTTATTTATCCTAACTGCAATAGTCATCAAAGTGTAGGGCATTGTAAAGTGATACACTATGTTTACATCGCATACATATATTACCCGTACACACATACAGAATTTACTCGCCAAAATGCAGGGCACCATCAGTTCTGGATACGGATTGAGCATTTTTTCAATATGGATGACTGAGGTCATCTGCGAGCATAATGCTGTCACCTATCAGAATTTTTTCAAACTAATTTTCCGGAGAATATCATCTGGAATACAAGATTTCTAATTATTTCTAAATTATTCAATTTTATACTATGAATTGATTTTTTTAACATTCAGACAGGTGGCAAGGACTGACGCAAACACGAATTTTGGGCGAAAAACGTATAAAAATGAAATAATTAGTGATTTTTCATCTGAATGATGTGGCCGCCATCTTGAAATTTAAGCGCGGCAAGTCAATTCATAATTTTTTCATTATTCTTTCTAATTTTTTTAATAAAAATATTCACTATATACAAAAAATTGTTGTTTACGTCAGTCCGGCATTGCTTCCTCTGTAATTTGGTACCTAATTTTATAGAAATAATAGTAAATTGGCGAAGAAATTAGAAATATCCCGATCCCATGTATTTGGATAGGGGGAATCAGTCGCCTTTCTGACTTCAGCCCAGCCTTAAAATTGAGTTATAGTCAATAAGTTCTTGTATGCTTCGTAGCTCAGCGGTAAAGCTCCCGACTCCAGCAGTGAATCTCGGGTATTCAAATCTTCTTTTTTTTTCTTCATTCTATTCTTTTCTCTATTATTATTATTATTAGTAGAATAACTTCAATTAATAATTGTTTAAACATGTATAATAATTAAATCATTTATATATGATAATTTAATATCTACTTTCAAAGGTATTTCTATATATTATTTCTTTGTAAATAAATTTATAATAAATAAAATAATCTAAAGTTGTAAGAACAAATTAATTTTTATATTTATAAATAGTATACAAGCTATTGGATTTTAAATATCTTTATTCAATAATTTTAAAGTTTACTGTATAAAAAATGTAGCATTCATGAGCTCTGAAATTAATTTCAAAGAATTTACAAATAGAAATGTTTTTTTTCTTTGTTAATGAAAAAAGATTTTATTTCATTTTCTTTAAAATGAAGTTTGCATATTCTACTTCTTATAAGCAGCTTCATTCAAATGAACAACATATTTGAAACAGGCATTTCAGAAAAAATAATATTTAACAATAAATAATTTATTATTTACACATACCAGTATAACAAATTATACATTATTAAACTTATTGGTGTTTGAATAATACGAGTTTTTTTGGCGTCGGCATATATAGCACGTCAGGCCCATTTTTTTAAATGTTATGCACAAAACTACACTCACAGGTACTTATTATTTAAATAATATATTAATTATTTGTATAAACAAATAATTAAAATCACTTGGTGGTAAAAAAAAAATATAAAGAATCTCTTAGTGAACACACTTCACGAACACGTGGGCTACACGTGAGTTTATTTGTACACGTAAATATTTATAAATATAATAATTATTATTAACATTGAATTGATTCTGAAATGGCTTTGAAATTAAATATAAATAAAAAATTTCAATATTTAAATAGTATAATTATTAATGAAGTCAATTAAAATATATAAAAAGTTGGATGTAGCATGTAAAACAGACGCTATTGTATGTGCAAAATGATGCTATTCTATTTGCAAAGGATGCTATCTCATTCCTTGTACAAATTAAAATGCTATCTAATGCGCACGCTCCATTCACGATCATGCGCACAAGTCGCAGCGTATAATAAGTGAGACACACGCATATATGTCTGCACCGTAATGCTTAAGTCTCCCTCCTAGAGATGTGAATCGGTAATTGACGGGTAAATTTACCGTAAATTACCGGTAAAAAACGCGTCAATGACCAAGCCTGTTTTACCATACCGGTCAGAAAAATGCTGATCTCTGATTGGTTAATACATGTCCAATCACAGTTTAGAATTCCCAACGGCATACAACTGTTTATTTGTTCTATCAGGTATATATTTTCATTTTTATTTGTTTATTAAAAATACTGATAATATTTAATATAAGAAAATTCAATTTGTAGATAAGGATTTTCATTGAGAACTTGGTGCAATGGGGGAGAACAAATCAATATATAAACATTTCTCTGCATTACCTCTGCAACCTAACCTAACCTAAATAAAGTACCTGAATGTTTTTATGATTTATATAATCATTTTAATAATGCATTTAATAATATACTTGTTTAGAAAATCGTAAAACTATGGCTCTACGGCCCATACATTATGCAGCTAACTTACTTGATCCTCAATTAAAAGGAAAAAATTTAAATAGGTCAGAAATGGTTGAAGCTCATCAATTAATTATACATCTTGGTGATAAATTAAATCTAAATAGTGATAAGGTATTAAAAGATTTAACAGATTATGTGTCAGAATCAAGTATGTGGAGTTACGACTACGTTAAGCGAGCAAGTATAATCACTTCAGCATGTCAATGGTGGCAAAGTATTTGCCAAAAATCTTCGTTGAGCAAAATAGCTGTGGCTATATTGACTTTACCTGCAACATCAGCTGCAACCGAGCGTTCCTTTAGTACACAAGGATGGATTCATTCATCTAAAAGAAATAAGTTAAGTATCGATAGAGCTGGAAAAATAACATACATTGCAAGAAATTTAAAATTACTTAATCCTTCACCAAAAAATACAGAAGAAGAATGGGAAGAAGATGAGGAAAGTAATAAAGGAGAGGATGAAATAAGTGAAATTTGTGCTGAGCATGAAGAAGTTGAATTTTTAGAAGAAGAATTTACTCAAGACTAATTAGTGATGTTGATGGAATTGAA